ACTTTTGAGTCATTTTTGGTGGTTTTCCGACGTTTAGGAAAACTCAAGAAATCCAAGATGGCGGCTGTTTGGAAATCATGACGTAATTCCTGTCATATTACGTCATAATCTTGTGTTACATACGTCAAAAGAAATTGGACGTACTCTAATACCCTCCAAGTTTCGTTGTCGTAGCTTTAATACTCTTGGAGTAACGGAGAGGGGATTCATCCCCCTCCCGGTCTGAAAAGAAGAAAAAAGCCCGGTCTGCATAGGGTTCTAATAAGCGAAGTTTTGGTTACACATTTTAATATGAAAATTGGCGATAAAAGTAAAGAACAGCGTTTCCACTGTCTTTATGACAGCATTGTCAACGACCTCGTTCCCAGGGTCTACTCCGCTTTCAAGATGGCGGCGCCCAGCCGCCATCTTGAAAGCGGAGTAGACCCTGGGAACGAGGTTGCATTGTCAATAGGGTTAAAAGCGAAAGTATCGCTAGTATTGATATAAGCGACCGAAGCCAGTTGTTCAAAGCATTATAGTTAGCCGCTCTAAGATTAGAGGAGAGAGGCTCTGTTACACGAGAATATCCCAAATAGTCTGAATTTCAGCCAACTCCGCTGTCGCTTACTCCCGAGAAAGTAAGCGACAGAGGAGATGGCTGAAATTTAGGCTATAGATCAAAAAGCCTTTTGATTTTAATATGCTAGTGCGAAGCCACTAGAGGAATGGGGCGGAGGGAGCCCGACAGTCCGCCCCATTCCTCTCGCGAATTCGCCGTTTTCCTGGCTTCGCCACTCGCATATTTTTGCCATCGCGCGCCAACAAAACCGCCAGCTACGCAGGCTAGTGAAAATGAGAAATACATTTACAGTATGAATCAGGACAATCAAGCTTTATTAAAAAAAAATCCAACCAGGGAACCAACATTGTCATTAGCTGACAGTAACATGGACCGATGTGCCCGGGGGATACTCCCATATATAGCCAATACTGGGATGTGCTGCCCAATTGGGTATGGGTTATCGACCTAGACTCGTGAACAGGGTATGGGTGTTTTGACTCGACGCTGTCATAGACAGGGTACATGGGTGCCTTTCAGTTACCTGGAAATATTATTTTCCCCGACATTTTCTGCGGGCCCGGCTGCCTTCCGACCTTGCGTCCAATAAAAACGACATCAATGTCGACAACAGATCACTGTCAGGAATCAAATGCTCAAATAAACACTTACTCCATCAATACATGTCATAAACAGGGTAGGGGAAGTGCGACATTTTTGTCATAAACAGGGTCAGGGTTTGACAGCCTGGGCGGCACATCCCTATTCAAACTTGGGTTGAGTAACCCTTCCTCCCGGCCGATGTGGTTCGGAGCGATTTACTGCAATACTACCTTTTTTCCAAAATGAAAACATTACTAACACGATTTAGTATAATATATACTGAGCTGTTTCACTTAACGTTTGCAACACGGGGAGTAGGCTCGATTACCAGCCGCTGTTCGGGAAAATGAGCCCACACTCATCCCCCGGAGGAACGAAGACCGGACTCGAGAGAGCGGCGGAAATCGAGCCTACACGGGTAGCGGGTAGCAGAGATGGCGCAGTGGCGGGTGAGAGCACTCGCCTCTCACCAATGTGTCCCGGGTTCGAATCTCGGACCCGGCGTCATATGTGGGTTGAGTTTTTTTTTCTGGTTCTCGTCCTTATTCCGAGGATTTTTCGCTGGTTTACTCCAGTTTTTCCTCCTTAGGTCCACAAAAACCAACCTTTTCTAAATTCTAATTCGATCTGGAAACAGCGGATAGATGTTCTCATTTTTATTTTATTATTTTACAGTCTCGTATTTCCTTCGTATTTCCTTCTCTAGCATACACACTCCTAAATATCCTATGTATCGTCTGGGAGAGTGTAATCTATCCAGCATCATCACATGGCAAATTCAACCTCGTTCCCAGGGTCTCTCTTCTTTCCGCCAAAAGCATCAGAAAGAGACCGTCTCTTTTCTGATAGAGAGACCCTGGGAACGAGGTTGATGGAAAATTGTTTTTGCATCCAACGCAGTCATTCGCTGTTTGATACACTGTGCTGTACATTATATAACAGCGCTTTTGAAGTAGCTGATCAGGCACGAACACTGATTCAACAGGTCTTGGATGTTTGACCAGGCTTCAGAGTGTTCTTGTAGTAAACGGGCTGCTATCTGCTTTAGTTCAGCATGCTCGGCTATCATGGGACCATGGAGCTGAAGGTTAAAAAAAGAAAACGGAACCGTTGTCTTTTCTGCTATTTCTTTCACGTGCGTGATCGATTCTGGACGTCTGGACACAGATTAACTAGTCCCAAGAGAGAATGATCTAAGAGAAGCATTCCCCCATACATGCATCTCTTCCAATGATAATTTTTCGAAATCTATTTTTAATTTTCAGTTCATAGCTGAGCTACTTTAAGAGCGCTACCTGATTGGTCAGTTCGAGTAACGTGATGTCGGAGCCTCGATCAGAAGGAGATAATAACTTTCACATGGCGCGAAATTATTAAAAGATTTCAAAAACTTATCATGGGGCACGGAGAATACTTCTCTTAGATCATCCTCTCTGGCTAGTCCTTAGTGCTCTTCAATTTTGAGCACAGAAGTACTGAAATTGTATTAGTGATCAATAACGGCTGTAAGTAGCCTAAGGTCGGGTTTCGAGAACCAGCGGTACATTCCCACTAAAAAATTCCAAGGATTATAACCAACCAACCCCCCCCCCCCCCCCCCCCCGATCTCTAACGAAGAGAAAGAATTCTCAACCCGTTCAGTCCCTTGTCTCCTTTTCAGCCGTTATTGGGTCGTCACCGTCACACAACGCTTCTTCTGTGGGGAGAAGCGTTGCGTGACGACCACATAACGGCTGCGAAGGAGACTTGCAGTCCCAAGCTTGAAATATCAATTCTCCTAACTCATTCCCTTACATTCCTTTAATGTTAGTTCTGAGAATTTGGTGGTCCATCAAGACAATTTTTCTTAGATGATGATTTTCTTGATTCTCATCACCTGTCTGCTTGACAATGTGTTGATATTATAAGGAGATATTAGATGTCGATCAGCCGGTGTGAATGTGAGTTCTTACCTTGAGAAAGAGTCCCAGGAATGCCTCAGTGAGCTCAAAGTCTCGCCGTGAAGCTAACTGATGCTCTATAAACAACATGAATAGTTCTAAGAGCTTGACATCTCCTCCAGCTGACGGACCAAGGGAGCGAATTTCTGCATCAATTGAGGATGGTCCCATGGTCTTGAGTAGCTCAAGAAGAGGCTCATCTACAAAGCAATCAGTATACGTCATTGTTACTTAGCAACGTCCTTACCGAAAACTGCGGGCTCAAACAATTCGCGGAGACGGGATTACAACCGATAAAGCTGCTTGTCTCCAGCCTGAATTTACAACGAACTGAACTGTTGAAGCTTCGCCGTCACTCGAAGATAGTGAGGGACCTTAAGCAACTACGACGGCGACGCCATGGAAAACGTCACTTAAAAAGTGAATTCACGTTCCTATAAACTATTTCGCGATATTCCAACACGTTCAATTTGTCCAATGTGGCCTAACTGTCCAGGAGCTGAATTGTAGGGACGGAGTTCAAGTCCAGATAGAGAAAAGAAAATTCGCCGTCTTGTGCTCACGTTCTCCATAATACTTTAAATTGGTCATTTGACGTTGTTGTTTTGCAGAGGACGGCTAAGAAATGTACAAAGATCGAAAACGCACGTGCAGCTGCCCAGAGCTATTGTACTACTAATTAAAACTATTGTTTTATGACGTTCTCGTTGCCGACGCCGTCGTGGTTGCTTAAGCCTGGTTTCCATGCGATCGTTGCGACTGCGATTGTTGCGATCATATGGAAACCAGGCTTTAAGGTCCCTAGTTACATGTAGAAGTATGAGGACCTGAAAAGCAACCCATTACAACAGCTAGTTACTCACAATTTCCAGAGCTCGCACAATCCTTCAAAAGCTTTTGAAATTCCGAGTCTGGTTGAAGCTGTTTCATGTTCAGAATTTTAGAAGTGACCTCCTGTGAAAAAAAGATGCAACATAATTAGACCCAATTGTGTACCGTAAATTCAGAGAAGGAACTATATACAGGGACCTTCTGGTGCACCGAACTGGCACCTCTAAGCGGACGCCAAGTTGTGGTCCCCACTATCTCTCTCTGACGGACACACCATTCTCTGTAATCACGTTTGACGAGGGCGACAAAAACGCATTCAAGTTCGCATGTTGAGTGTAATGAGAATCAGTCAAAGGGGAGAGAAATGAGTTGTAAAGGTTAAAGTCTGTCTACAAGCCTAGTGGCTTATCAAGCTGGCGCTCAACTCCAGTTTCCATAGTATGAAGTGACTAGGAGTATCGCTACTCCCCCCACCCCACCCCCAAGGTTAAAGTCTGTCTACAAGTCTAGTGGCTTATCAAGCCGGCGCTTAACTCCAGTTTCCATAGTATGAAGTGACTAGGAGTATCACTACTCCCCCACCCCACCCCCAAGGTTAAAGTCTGTCTACAAGCCTAGTGACTTATCAGGCCAGCGCTTAACTCTGGTTTCCAGACAGACTGAGACAGACAGACAGACAGACAGACAGACAGACAGACAGACAGACAGACAGACAGACAGACAGACGGACGGACGGACGGACGGACGGACGGAACGGACGGACGGACGGACGGACGGACAGACAGACAGACAGACAGACAGACAGACAGACAGACAGACAGACAGACAGACAGTTTATTTAAACACGGAATTTCTTCAATTACATGAGTGGAATTGGTTTCCGAGAAAGCCGTGCCAATAAAATCCATAGCGTGAAGCGGCTAGGAGTATTGCTACTCCCCCTGGATGGGATGCTAGTCCATCACAGGTTACCCCCCAGCATTTTTGTCAGGTTGCCCTGACAATTCGCTGTTACCCATTTGTACTCCTGGGTGGAGAGGCAATGTGAGAGTACAGTGCCTTTTCCAGCCGGGAACACAACACAGTGACCCAGGCCATCGCTCGAACCTGGACCGCTTGATCCGGAGTCCAACGCGCTAACCATCATGCCACCGCGCCTCACACACGTAAGTTGTAGAGTGGGAAAAACTCACCGTATCATCGGGTTGATCGCCTTCAGTTTGAAGAATTTAGGAACCAGATCCTGAGTGGTTGGTAGAAAGAATGGAGCAGCTTTGGGCGCCTTGGGTGGTTCCTTTGGTTTGTTTCTTTTCTAAAAATGAAATCATAAATATTCTGGTTACCAGCCATATACATGTACTGCGGTTTAAATGCCTGTCTTACATCCAAAAAAAGTATTCACATCTGACCAATCACAACGAAGGCAGATAACGCAATGAGCCAATCAAAACTAGGAAAAAAAATGAAACCTACGCCAAGCGCAGGAAAACACGCAACCAGTGCCAAGCGCGGGAATGCATACAGCCGCAACCGGCGTCAAGCGCGGGAAAACGCGATTATTGGTTTTCATTCTCATTGGTTGGGAAAACAATTGGTGATATATAAAGGGTGACGAAAAAATTAACTGTTCTAGAGCTTTTAGTATTTGCATTATGTACTTGCGCAGTCAAGTTACCTTAATTAGCTCTAAGCTGGTTAAATTGTCGCCATCTTGATTGTGGTAGAAGAGATAATGTGACCAGTTCATCTGCCAGCTGGTCAGGACTCTTATAACTTGCAGTGTTGTCGGCAGCAGAGGGTGTATCTTCTCCGTTTGTAGTTTGCTGTTTCCTTTACGTCACCAAATTCTATAGAATATTGAAAAGACACGGTTTATGTACAGTCGAAGCTCTCTGAGCGGACACTCTCGTAAGCGGACAGCTCTACTTAGGGCCGCCTTGGACAAAGCCCCGTTTGAACTCTAGCTCATACAAACTCTGTATTTACACATTCCTGTAAGCGGTCAGCTCCAGACACTTTTTTCTGCTTCCCGAGAGTGTCCACTTACGGGAACTTCGACTGTATCACTAAATTCGTAAGGTAAAACAGGGTGTTGGTAATTTTTTCTGAAATAATTTTCCAGGAGGACTTTCCCAGGGCTATTGTAGATTTTCCCAGGATTCCCAATTGCTCTAAAACAGGGTAAAGTTTGTATGCAATATCTCTGATACTACAGTAGAATCAGGACTGTCTGAAACAAGTTCATAATTCAAGTCACTCGTACGCACAAATTTACTTGAGTTGACAGATTTCCAGGACTTTCCAGAACCTGTTAAAAAGTCACCTCACTTCCAGGGAAATACCAGAACAAATTTCCAGGACTTTACAGGAATTCCAAGAGCCGAGCAACCCTGTGTTAACGAACCAACAGCATTTTACCCGCTCGCCCCAACATTTTTGCAATTCCAAATTTTAAGCCCTGGCGAAACGGAAGTAGATGCAACTTTTGAAATATGAACTTGCGTACAGACTTGTGTTGGGTGGCCAAACGGAGTCGTAAGTTTACTAGCAAGTACACACAAGTCGCAAAAAAGTCATTTGAATGCTCCTGCGCGTGCTGCAATTCAGAACTTGAAGTAAACAACAAAACTTGCGTTGACTTGCGTTTGGTGGCCAAACGGTGAAAAAACTTGCGTTTATTGCGTTCAAATTTGATCTTGATCAAAGTGAACGCAAGTCGTCGCAAGTCCACGCAAGTGCGTGCAAGGCAACTTGCGTCTCCTTGCGTCTAAGTTTGGCCAGGGCTTCTACACTGAATGACGCTCTGACAGTCGTTGTTGACGTCATGTTACACGCATAATCTGTCCTCTCCTCTTACCTTCGTCAAGCTCTGTTCCTGTACCAGGGAGTCGTTCAACAATTGGCTGATAGTTCGCAGGAAGTGGAATTAATGATACGTCATCATACAAGGTTTTGTTGGACCTGTAGTGTAACAAGATAAACACATCGGTGAGATTTCAGCAGGGCAAATAATCATTGACCAGTTTCGTGCAGTTTTGTGGCCCAAGGGGGGTACTCCGGTAGTGACGGGGAGATGCAAAGGCCTTTTGAGGTTTGAAATGAGCGATTTGGGGGGGGGGGGGGGGGGGGGGAGGGAGGTTTGAAATTTTCTGGCGAATTTTTTTGGGTAGAAAGATTTTGGCAGGGACTTTTTTAGGGTTGAACAAATATGTATTGCTCACCACTTTGAAAGAATGACTGTAGTCTGCCTAAAGTTTGTGACAGATGCATGATGATGAATAAAGAGGCCGGTGGACGCATGGACTATCTTGCACTCTCTTTGTTTTTGTTTGTTTTTTGTTGTTGTTGTTTACTTTAGTTTTTTATGCGAAGAAAAAATAAACTTTTTGGGTTTGGAGTTTTTTCGGTCTAGTTTTGGCCTAATGGGGCTTTTTGGGGGTATAAAATTTTGGCCACATTTTCACTTCCCTGAGTACCCCCATGGGTTTGTGGCACATTATGTTATTAAACGCTGATTGGTTGTTTCTTGCGCGCAAAAATTCAAAATCGCGCTACAGCCAATCAGAGACACTACGCGCCATCGCGCCACCTTCTCAACCAATCAGATGCAAAGACAAAACCACTTGCGACTTGGTCACACGCGTTTTCCCGCGCTTGGCGTTTGTTACGTGTATTTGCTTCGAGTTCTCATTGGTTCATTTTGGAGTTTTATGTTTCTTGTGCTATTAAGCCTACAGGCTGCAGAGAGTAAATGTTACTTACCATAAATACACGCCAAGATCATCAACGTGTGTAGTGACAAGAAAGTCTGCTATAGGTGACATGGCTAAACTGGTCACAGGTGATTCCACTAGAAAGCAGTCTATAAGCCTGGACAAACAACATCGCTATTAGAGAGTTTAATATGCCATACATGTGTATTTAGTGCGGTTTTCAACTGAGTGTCTTTGGTTTTGCTTTACTATGCTCTGTGATTGGTTTAAAAAAACTTGCGCCACCTACTCAACCAATCAGATGCAAAACCAAAACCAATCGCGACTTGGTCACATGCGTTTTTCCCGCGCTTGACGCCGGTTCGTGTATTTGCTTCAAGTTCTCATTGGTTCATTTTGTAGTCTATGCTTGTTGTGATTGGCCATTGTAATTGCTTTGGTCTTAGTTTTACGACACTCAATTGAAAACAGCTCTAAAACATAGAAAACAAAGAAAGTGCTTTGAAATTTGAGAGGCAGGCACGTACCATTTACATGTAAGTTGTAGAAAAATGCAAAAGAAAACTTTTGAAGCCAAAATGATCAAATTGAACAACATTAAAAAGAATTGCGATCTAAATATTCGTTCGCTATACAGTTGAGAAATTCTCAGTAAATGAATATTTCAATGTCATGAAGAACCTGTGAAGAAGACAAGCAACAAACACCACATCAAACTTGACATATTGTCAACTCTCGTTCTCGTTCGTACCTGGCTGCTGGTAGATTCCAGGTCCTCACGCTTGAGTCCATCGATGCCGTGATCAACCAACGGGAGTCTGGGCTAAAGGTCTGAACAACAAAGCATAATTATCAAATAATTCCGAAGCCAAAATGTATTACAACCGAGAAACTACTATAATAGTGCGATTTTGTTTCAGACAGCGAAATAGTCCGCTTCTTGTTTACATAGCCTGATGCAAACATGATGGAAAGTTCGGGTTAATTCGAAAGTACTTACAGTGCGACTACTGCAACCAAATTAGCGAATGAAAACCTCGGATGTTAACAACAGATTTCCCACAAATTATGGATCTAAGCAAACTGCACACCACAGGGACACCCAACGACAAAATTTTCCTGTAGGTGCGCCCGAACGTCGTTTTTAAGTTATAATTGTGCTCTTTGTGCAGTTTAATGGCTTATTTTTAAACGCTAATAAGAAAAATGTATATGTTCGGATACGTTAGCTGAACTTTCAAACTTCAGAAAATTTTACGGATTGAAATTTTATTAACCGAATTTATGAAGCTACTTTTGCCTTTCTGAAAATCCTAGCTGACCTTTTTAGTACCATAAAACGCCATTTTTATCTCTCCGAAAACAACAGACATTAATTTTCCCATATTAAGAAAATTTGAGATGAAATTTCCCTAACCGAATATCTGAGGCGATTATAGGCCTTCCGAACAGATATTCCACCGAAACGATCCGTTGGGTGCCCCTGATACTAGAGAAGCAATAAATATGTGACCATTTTATTGTTTTAACACTAAAACGCTGTTGGTCAATTTGCAAAGAATTTGATTGGGTGGCCTTGGTTGGAGTAGTCCAACTGTCCCAAACTTTCTCTGGTGTTTGCATCAGGCTATGTAAACATGCGTGCCATTTTCACGAGCATACCATTATTATTATTAACTTCACTCACCATGTCCGTAACCCTGTTTGTGTGACCGCGGAATATTCTAACAATTCTTCGCATATCTATATCTACAACATGGATTTCGAAATCGTCTAAAGAAACGGCCAGCAAGGAACTGCAAGCAAAGAGCAACAAAATAAGCTTAGATTTAAACGGGTGCGATCAAGATTTTAATAGAAGCCTGGTAGAATAATTATCAGTTTCACGTAAGAAGGTTAAAATATAAAGTCTTCACGAGCCTAGTGGCCCACAACTGCTGGAGCTTATCCCGGTTTCCATAGCATAAAGCGACTAGGAGTATTGCTACTCCCCCTGGATGGGTAGCCTGCCCTCCCACGATCGCGTTTCGTGCTCCGACTCCGCCGAACTCCCCTCCTCCCTCCCCTTTCTATGCCTGCCACGCAGGCTACTGAATGGGATGCTACTGTTCATCACAGGTTACTCCCCCACCCAGCATTTTGTCAGGTTGCCCTAACAGTTCGCCAACAGAACTCCTTGACCTGATCGGTGTTAAAAAAACAAAACTACGCTATCCACTGGATGGCGATTTATCTGGTGGATAGCGTTATCCACTCTTTGAACAACCGGGCCCTGGGTGGAGAAGGGCAATATGAGTGTCTTTCCAAAGAACATAGTACAATAAAGCCAGTCAGCGCTCGAACCCTTGATCCACAGTCTAATGCCCTAACCACCTCCCAGTTATCAGTGGTTCAGTGTAGTAGAGCTGGTCAGATTGGCATAAAATGTGTAGGAAATGACATACA